ATAGATAGATAGATAGATAGATAGATAGATAGATAGATAGATAGATAGATAGATAGATAGATAGATAGATAGATAGATAGATAGATAGATAAAAATTTAATCTGCAAAACTATTTGGTAAATGGGGTGAAAAATATATTTTGAAATGATAAAATCTTTAAAATATTAAATAAAATGCATTGACTGAAAAAAACAACTGGGAAGAAATTTATTTTAAATAAAAAAAAATAAAATAAAATAAAAAAATGAAACAACCCAGAAAAGTTACTCTCAAAAGCTTTGATTTTGTTTAAAAATATTTTTCATTTTCATTTCTGGATTGCATTTTTTTAAATCTCACTTTACAAAATGTGTTTTTTCAAATCTATATTAACAAATCCAATACTTTGCCTGCAACAATCATGGGACAAAATTCATTTCATGTTAATGACAGTAAAAATGGAACAGAGGTGCCTGTAAACAGCAATTTACTTCTAAATGAATCAATGACCATAAAACCTCCCTCCTTGACTTTGGTTTTGGTTCTATTCAATTTTTGGAAGGCTTTTTTATAACAAAATGAAAAAATACCTTCAAAGCATTCAGGGATTTTTAGCACCCCGTCAATGCACTGGGTTGACACTTCATAACCACATCCCATGGCTTTGTTCATGCAGAAGACCGAGATGATTTCAAGGTGTAAGACACGGTTAGGCTCCAAGTCTTTAATCCAGATTTTCTTTCCTTTGTATAATATTTTTGCTTTTCTAATGGCAACAGCACAAGGAGCTAAAGAAGACAAGGTGAGAAGGAATTATATAGAGCATTTTGTAAAACTATACTTTTATGGTAATCTGTATGTTACAGATACACTTTTATATGAGTTCTTAAAAAAAAATTAATAAATTAAACTAGTTTTAAAATGAAAAAAATTGGATATCAGGCTAAAGCTGACATTACAGAAAAAAGCAATTTCTTGTGAAGAATAAGATTAAAAGCTGCTTAAAGTCTTACTCACAGTTAATTGTATTGTCATTAAGATTGTAGTATTTTCTATTTTTTCAATATTCCCAACAGGCTCACCTTTGCACGATGGTTTTTCAGACCACCTTCCGCTTTTTTGGCAAACAGTCTCCAGGTTTCCTTCCAGTACATATGGGCTTTCACAGTCATATTTGACTGTTTCCCTGTAGAAAAACTCTCTCTTATCATTGGCTGACATATAACCTCTATCAATGTTCTCTGGTGGAGGGCATGTAACAACTGTAAAAAACAAAAACAAACCAACATTTATTTGCCCAGACCTGGTAAATACGTGGGAAAATATCCATGATAGACGAAGCAGAATGTGTTCTTAGTAGCTAAAACATAAAAAATGAAGCTTTGCATCATTGTTTTCTTTGCTTTTCTTGTGAAATGAAATGAAACATGAACATAATTGGATTAAGTAGCTGCTGTATGACTAAACAGGATAAAAGTTAAACAACCTGAACTACATTAGAGCTCCTTCTTACCTCGACACTCAGGTGTCTCGGTCCAGCTTCCACTGGCGGTGCACTCTGCAAACGGGTTGCCAAAAAGAGCGTATGGAGGATTACAAATGTAAGTTGCTGTGACGCCGTAATTGGTTGTGGTTCCTCTGATGGCCTTATCATAGATTACCATTCCGTACAGTGGGACTGGAGCGAGACCACAGGATACAGCTAATAGGACAGAACAATCATCACTGTTTCAATGTGGGATCCCCAGCTTTAGATAAAAAAACACAATATCGAAGACATGTTTGTCAAGAAAAAGGAAAATATTCAGGGAGTCCTTTTTATTTATTTTTATTTTTATTTAACCTTTATTTTACCAGGAAGTCCCTTGAGATAAAATCTCTTTTTCGAGGGAGACCTGGCCAAGAGGCAGCGGTACAATAAGACATATAAAAACACATAAAAACAACATAATAAAATTTTGAGGTGAAGGCCTCCATGTTAATCTCCTGGTTCTGTTCTATCCTTCCGATTTAAAATTTTTTGGTTTGGGTGTCCAAAAATGACATAATAGTGTGTAAAACCTTAAAATTCAGTCATTCAATCATTTTAAATGTTTTAACCTGTTCATGAGTTTGTATCCCTTTGAAAACTTTCTCACTTTTGCAACATGTAAGAAGTTTATTGGGTTATTTGCACATTTATGTGAAGCCGCTGTGGTATGAGCCCCCATCTACTGTAAAGCCTATTCTGAAATGTTCAAAGGGAACCTCTTGCTTATTTACCTTTCTTTCAGTAGCATTAGTTTAATTTGATGCTATTTGTTGCCATCACAACGTTTTCTTTAAAAGAATAAGGTCAATTTAATTTATTTTAAAATCTTGCATACATATGCTCCATTACTCCTGTCCTTAAATGTATAGTGGAGGATTTTCACAAATTTTTGAAAAGACCCGCCCTCTAAACTTTGAAAAACAATGCATATGCACAACCTTGTACCTGCTCCTGAGAGGGAACGCCTGTTAAAAGTGTGTGAGAGCATGCAGGAGCCCATTTCTCCTCATGCACGCTCTGTTTAAAAGTTGCTGTTTGCATCGCTCATACACGCTTACTTTCCAAAAGTAGATGTGCAATTTTCCACTATGTCAGACTCACCATCCGTAATTGAAAATGGGGATGAGCCCGTAGAATGGCCATATCACCCGAATGATTGACAGTCAGGAGGACCACTTATTTTGATGATCCACCCGGAAAGCTAATATTGTTGTCTTTTCTGTGAGATCAACAGAAACAGTGCTATCTTTTCAATTTTGCTTAATTAATACACAAAACATCTATGGAGAACACTGAAAAATTCAGCTGACGCAGCAACCATTGACTATATTTTGGAGAAATGTCTAATTTTGATGCAATGATTAGGGCAAAAACCTAACCTCTATGTTTTCTTTCTAATAATCAAAATTATGGTTTTGTTGATATTCTCCATATCATGAGCCAAATTTGAGAATCTTATGTAAAACCTATATCTCTTGAATTTTCTTGTGTCATGCCATTCGTGGTTTCAATACTTGGTCAGTTCATCTTCTAAACAAAGATTTGATCCAATCTGCTGGGTTAATTGGACGACTGTTTCCAAACTGACTAGGATATAAATGTTTGCAGTTATATCAAATATGTTTTTTAGAGGGGTGGTTTGATTTAACCCTGAACCCCCTGTTGGAACTTAACTTTTTACTGGATTTAAATCACACTTGAGTCAGACTTAGCTTTTTTTTTTAGCACCCTTAAATATTATGCAAATGCTCCAGCATTGAGTTTTTGTATTTTGCCTGTTTTTTGGAGTTCTGTGTTCTTGTTCATGTAATTAAATCACTTGTATGCGATTATGCTTTTAATTTTTCATTCCTTTCTTTATGTTGAAAGATTTCTTTTTCTCTCCTGACCGTTTCTTTGTATCTAGTCTTTGTTTAGTCGTTCGACTTATTTAGCCCTTTTTTTTCTCCCTCAAAATTCCAAGTCTTCAGAGTAAATTAAGCTGCATATCAGTCTTTACTGTTTATCTTCCTCCATGTTTGCTCAGCCAGTTGGCGGCTCCTTCTGCTGCATTCCTTTCTCCCTGTCCCTGCAATGCTTTTGTCCTCCTGCCACAGTTTTTTTCCGCTAACATTAGTTTGCATAATTGCTCATTCAGTCGTGTTGCTTCTCACCTGCCAGCATCCTGAATTCAGATCCTCACTACATCACTAAATGTGCTGCATAAAGTGAAATGAAAGCAACATACGTATGCACTCTGGTGCAGGTGTACTCCATGTTCCATTGGCCTGGCACACTGCTGAGCTGGGTCCAGTCATTATATAGCTATTTAACATGATATGAAATCATCAGAGTAATAAAACACTTAATGTTTAGATTATTATATATCTTATACAATATTTGCACACGTACACAATGAAAAAAAATAAAATAAATTGATTACCCTTCATGGCAGGTGTAGTTGATTGTACTCTGGAAAACTGTATCCTCATAATACAGTTCACCATTAGTGATTAGCTCAGGATGTGGACATTGTTTGGCTGCAGGAAAAAGCATAAAAAACATGAAAATATGAGGGCTTTGCAATTTAGCTATACTTTAATAATAAACAATCTGTAATACACAAGTTTTTTTTAAGCTTGGCGACAAGTTTGTCTATTTATGATCAAATTACGTGCACGTTTGCTTCTATTGGTTTATAATCATCTGTTCTTTAGTTTGCATATTGTAATAATTACAATATGGAAACCTTCCAACACTCTGTTATATTACATCCTGGATTATATTCTGTTATAATCCCTAATTTAGCAGCGGTTTTATGTGGCCTTAAAAGGTTTAAATCAAAGCAGGTTTAATAAATATTCACTTTGGTTGCTACCAAATTTTTAATATTGTCACTGGTTAGTACGATAATTATCTCTGGACATTTACAGTGAGTAAAAATAAAAAATAAAAATACATACGTATGCACTTTAATTTGGTGTTTGTCCACTCTCCATTGATAGTACAAACAATCTTGCGCGGGCCCAACACAGGAGTGTATCCCTGTTTACAGGACAGAGCTAACTCCACACCGGGGTTGAAGAACCTCTGGATGCCAGCCATCTCAATGTTACCCTGCAGGTTAGGCCGGGAACATACTGAAAAAAGTAAATTAGTTAAATCCTTTATATAGAAAAGTAAAATAGCATAATATAGGTACAGTTTTCCAGCTATATAAGAGCTTTAACTCCAAAACATCGCATGATCTGCAGGTGGGAGTTTGGGGTTATCATTTTAAATATTCCATTTAACTAAAATATTACTTTATAGTTTTTTCTCTTTAGGAATTACTTTAAAAAAAAGAAGAAAATCTGACTAAAGCGGAGTTGAGAAATAATTACCAAACAACACAACAAATGAAAAGTTTCACCAGCCAAAGCTAAAAGAAAATTTCTGCTTGAATTCATCATTAATATACCCAGAGGTTTAAATAGTGAAGAATAAAGTGGAGTAAATTGCATTTGAAGATGTGTGAAATAAGAGCAGTCATACCACTGTGTTGGGAAGTCACTGTTGTCACCAGCAGACAAGAGCAAAGCAGAAACAAACGCTCCATCTTCAGAAGAAACACACAGACCCTGCTCTCCTCTCCTGTAACCTCCCTTCAGCTTCAGATCCAGACTCTCTCTGTCCCACTTTCAGCTGTTTGTGTTCCTCTCAGAGTAAACAGACCAGCGCAGCATGAAGCAGCTAACTCCCTTTAATAACACTTTGGAAGCCTTGCGAAATTTTACTGACAATCGAAACTAAAAGGGTAAAATTTCACCAAAAAAAACATAAAAAATGCTCCCTTTCTCATTATTAAGTGCTTTTTGGTAATTTTCCTCCTGTTGTTTCTATAATTTAGTCTAATTAAAATTGGTAAAATAAGTCAAAAGCTCTAATAATCTTCATCCTGTTTCATCTGAGAGGATCGATAATAAACAAACACGGCTAAAACTGACATTAAACATGTCCCATAAAAAAAACATAAAAATTCAAATACGTCAATAATAATTCACACAATTAAATTAGTTTTTTCATTTAAAAAATAACACCCCATCACAAATAAACCCGAAAGGAACTGATGGTGTCTTTTTTGGGAAAAGGACAAAATAAACAATATCAGACAGGAATCAGCTATATAATGCATAAAATCTTTATTTAGATCAAATAGGAATTAGCTACGATAAATCAGACATTATTTCCTTATAAATGTGAATATTTTTCAATTTCTTCAGCATCATTTCACTGGGTTCTTTATCACAACTTTCATACAGATTTCCCACTGTTAAGTTCTCAATCAGATATTACCACCAACATGTGCATTAGTGACTGACAATTATATTTTGAATGTTATCTCATTTTTTTTTTAATGCCGTTTACAAATCACAGTGGTGTTCAAATTTGAGTTATTTTTCATTTACCAAGAATAAGACACAAACTAAAGGCAGGATTAAACCACAGTCACCATTTGGGTTGGGAAAAAAAAAATAATCAAAATTTTGATTTAAAATAGCAACGCGATTCTTCCCAACAATCAATACTGCAAGTGTTTCCATTTAAAATTGAGATTTTATTTACTTTCATTGACAGGTTTTACTGTTGCATGAATATTGATAGTTGGAATTTATTGATTTCACATTGGAGAAATTTACCTCTGCATTTAACCCTTCCCCTTGGGGAGCAGTGGGCTGCCATTGTGCGGCGCCTGGGGAGCAGTGTGGTGTTTAGGGTCTTGCTCAGGGACCCAGAGTGAAGGCTGTGGGGATCAAACCAGTTACTTGTAACCTTCTCAGAGCACAATCTCACTGCTCTAACCACTAGGCCATCACTCCACAAAGGGCACTAACTTCTACTAACATACATTGATCTTTTATCTTAATTTATTTAATACTTTTGACAAATTAGAAATTGAATGGACCTTAAAATAACACTTGCTTTTAATTGGCATGATATAAACTTATATGTAATTGAGCTGGGATGCACTTTGCAATAATTTTTATTAGAGGTTTATAGTTGCAGTATCACACATTTTGATAATCTTGCTTTTATTCACTGACAATGTAAATTTTAAAAAAAAGCTTGAGATATGATGATGATGATGATGGCCTTCGTCTCAGCGTGGTTCTTAATATTGGCTCCATTAATTGCTCAGGAAGGTCTTGGAGAACTTGTTGGGTTTGTAGCGGGCAGAGCGGCACACGTCCTGATTTCTGATGGAAGGTTTTTAGACCTTAAGTTGTACTCTATTTTGCCTGGTTCTACAAGAGAAAAAAAATCAGAGACATTTGATGACAGTCACTTTCAAAGGCATCTATAAGACATTTGAAGAAGGTGCAACATGATCATTTTGATCTGACTCACCCTCAAAGCAGTCAGGAATGGGGAGGTTTCCATCGTTACAGGTGCTGGCAACAGGGTAGCCACATTTATCAACTTTGTTCTTACAGTAAAAGACAACGGGCTCTTTATGGAGCACTCTGTTTGGCTTCAGATCTTCAATCCACATCTTTCTGCCATTGTAAAAGATGCGCCCTCTTTTGATGCCAACTGTGCAGGGAGCTGGATTAAAAAAAGCAATTTAATACGATTTTAACTCTCACAGCAAACATCAAATAAAAAAACCCCAGAAATGTTTTACAGGTGCAGGTTTTTATTAACGCCCTAAAAATGCAGCCAGACCAACTTAGGAATCTCCCACAACAGAGTTACATAAATATAGAGTAGAAGACTGAAGGGAGAGCTAATTTTCTCATGACTCACCCCTGCAGGCTGGCAGTGATGACCAGGTTCCTGTGTTTTGGCACTGAATCTCAGCCTCACCCTCCAGAGTATAGTGCTCATTGCAGGAATACTTAACCTTCTCTTTGTATCCATGTTGCCTCATTATAGCAAATGTGATCACACCATTGGGTATACTTGGTGGAATGGGGCAGCTCACCTCTGTAACGATAATGATAATAAATACTTTCATTAAGTTCAAAACAAGTACAGAAAATGATGGACATATAAATCTAATATTTAAAGGGGTAATAGAATGCAAAACAGAGGTTCCATTGTCGTAGATGAATAAGGATAGTTCAGTGGGTGAAATGGACGTACAGAGAAGTTCAAACACCATCAACACCTCCTTTCTCTGCAGATTTCACAATTCTAAACTTCCACCATAAAACGGGCAAATCCAAACAAAGCACCAAATTGACGTCAACTTGGGGATGTTGCTTTATTTGGTTCTGGCCTGGAGTTTTGTCACGACCCGAAATTAACATACAGACCTGGTTAACTGGCCCAAGGGAGGAGGGAGGTACGAAGTGTCGACTGCTGGGCTGATGACGGGACCAGACCTCGGCAGGAGGAGGGGATCTGAGGGCAGGTAAGGCAGGCGGGGGGAAGCACGGGGCTGCTGGTGTCCAGGCTACCGTCACTGTGTTGGGTTCGGTTGCTTCATCCCCCGCTGGCTCCCTGCCCTCGGCTCGGTTCAAGTGCCCGGTGAGTTTAAACTACGCTCTGCATTGTAGTCGACAAAATTCCCGGACGATTTTGAAATTCCCCCCGGACATTTTTTAAGGTATGAAAAATAGGACATGTCCGGGAAGATTAGGACTTCTGGTCACCCTACCATATCAACAATTTCGATGTTTCAGTGAGTGAGCGCTTGTTGCTATGATGCGTCTTTGCTCAGGAGCTTTGCTCGTTGTAAACCAACCAATCAGAGCACAGCTCATCTTAATTTTCATGATTATACCATAAAAGGAAGAAAACCTGTTGTTTCATTCTGGGGCTTTTAACCAGGCTTGCATTAGGGCTCATAGAACAGCAAATATGCCATTTTCAGCCCAACTGATGTTAGACACCCTATTCAGAGACCTTAAGAACCAGCACCAAATACCCTATAGAATCATTTATGACCCCTTTAGTAAAATGAGTATACTAGCTACATCAGAACTCCTACATTCATGCATATGCATCACCAAGCTGGTTTCACCTCTACAAACAGGGGGTTCAGTTGCTCTCCCATCAGCCATGCAGGACCCTCTTTCATACGTTGGTGCCTTGGGTGGGTTGCACTCGTAAGTCCAGCCTTGTCCATAGATAGTTTCTGTTCCTGTTGCCGGCTTATCGTAGGCGATTCTTCCCTCTCTTGGTGGTCTGGGTAGTGGACAGCTCACACCTGTTGAGTTAGAATAAGAAGTTAGTTTAACTGCGTCCATAATTGACATGTGGGACATTTGAAAGCTGTTGGGTTGTGGGTAAGTCTGGTATTCTTCAGGGGTCAGTCATTGGACTATTCTCTACTCTCATTAGTTGTGGTTGCTCTTATTTTTAATTTTTTTCTAAGATTCATATTGGTATTATCCTCCATGTATTGTATTTTTGGATTTAATGCTCTTTAAAGTTACTTAAGGAAAATTGGCAGGAAGAACATTTTTGAACACTAGTGGCACCAGGGCAGATCTCACTGAGATTGGAACCCAGAGGTTCTTCTCGGGTCACTGAACTTGAACTAGGCCGCTTCTCTATGGAGTTCAGATCCGGTGTGTATGTTGTCCAAACAATTACAGCAAGGGAAGACAAGTTTATTTGTATAGCACAATTCATTACATGGACAATTCAAAGTGCTTTACATGAATTAGATCATAAAATAAAAGCAAAAATATTTGTAAAACAAATAAAACAATTGGACCACAAAAAAAAAAAAAAACATGATAAAAGCAAGTAGAGAAGAAAATAGAACAGTTTGGATCACAACCTTAACCTAATATGTCTTCCAAGAGTTTTTTCCAAATCAGTGGAGCAGAGGAACTAAATGCTGCTTCTCCATGTTAGGCTCTAGTTCTGGGTGAACAGAGTAGCCTGGAACTAGAAGACCTGAGGGGTCTGGGAGGTTGATACACTGACAGCAGATCTGTTATGTATTGAGGTGCTGAACCATTTCTGTCACACTAAATCACAGTTGGGGTGCGAGGGTTGCTGGTGCCCATATCCAGCTGTCTATGGGCCAGAGGCAGGGTACACCATGGACAGGTCGCCAGTCCATTGCAGGGCAACACAGAGACAAACAGGACAGGTGCTGAACCATTCAGTGATTTATAGAATAACAGAAGGGTTTTAAAGTCTGGCTACAGGGAGCCAGTGGAGGGACGTCAGAACCGGACTGATGTGCTCTAGTTTCTTAGTTCTAGTGAGAACATGGGCAGCAGTGTTTTGGATCAGCTGCAGCTGTCTGAAGGACTTTTTTGGCAAACCTATGGAGACGCTGATGCAGTAATCAATTCTACTAAAGACAAATGCATGAATGAGTTTCTCTAGATCCTACTTTAATCCTGGAGATGTTCCTCAGGTGATAAAAGGCTGATACCATGTTCAATAAAATCTTTTCTCCATAATAGTAAACAGTGGAGGGAAGCTAAAAGTGCTTTCATTTTTTGATGTGGTCAATATTGAGAAAGCTGTAGTTTTTACACCTCTGGGAAATCCCCAAATCTTTTCAAACTGTCAGAGATTTTCATACTTTACCCTCAACGAACTGGGATTCACTGCTTCTCTACTCTTGCTCAAGATTCATGGTTTGGAAATGTTACGTATATGAACTTGTTTTGTAACTTTAAAATAAGATTTTTTTTCTGTGTGTGTGTTTTCATGTTGGTTCATTACTCTGAAAAAACAGTTAATAGTTTTACTCCTTTATCTTCAGTTCTGCCGTCGCCGAGCAAAAGGAATTTAAAAGTTGTTATTCATTTCCTGAACCAAAGTATGTTGGCCTAAGCAGGACTGATTCTAGTGTAACTGTTAGACTTTGTAAATATCTCCTAGGCTACTTGATAGCCTCACAACTCTTCTCAACTTTGCTTCTACAACATGTTTTCCTTCCACTTAACTATTAATTATTAGGTTTAAAAAAGAAAGCTACTTTAATAATGACCTATTTTTTAGTGGTTTCTCCACCTTGTGGGGCCATTGGGATCTATCTGCTGGAAAGACTTGGTAGACTTTTACATCATATGGATAGATTAAGATACGTGTTTTTTTTTTTTTCATCACTAACAACAAAATCTATCTAGCTATTTGAAACTAGATGATCATTGTGTTTTTTGCCTTATTTTATATCAAATGGATTATAGACAACTGCGATGGACTGGCAACCTGTCCAGGGTGTACCCTGTCTCTTGCCCATTGACAGCGGGAGATAGGCACCAGCACCCCTCGCAACCCCACTTGGGATTAAGCGTGTTCGAAAATGGATGGATGGCTTATAGACAACTTTGGCCAGTCTGGATCTTTTAAAAAGTGTATCATAAATGAAGACAGAGGGTATGGTTAATGTGTCTTACCTTTGCAAACGGGAGGCGGATTACTCCAAGTGCCGTCATGTAAACACCTGCTTTCATTAGCTCCAACCATGACATACCTGATGAATGAAAATATGTTTCTGTAACAATCTACAGTTGTAATTGTAAGGGAATAATGGACATTTTGCTCTGGTCTTACCCGTCATCACAGGAGAAGTTAAGAACGCTCTTAAAAGGAGCTTCTGTTCTGCCTTTTGCAAATGGCTGCAAAGGCCTCGGGATCTGGCACATCTTGGCTACAAAAAAAAAGAAGGTGAAGGCCACGTCTTCAGAGCATTACTATCTGTGCTGGACGACCCGCAGAATTACATGCAAGGATCATAGTCAACCTTATTCTCTGTTTTAAACTTGCAAAATCTCAACAACAGCATTAAAACAGACACTGCAGCTTTAACTCACGGGAACATGCAAGGTTTGCTGATGTCCATTCTCCAGCAGCCGTGCAGGTTATCCTGGGGAGGGAGGCCGTCGAAGGTAAGTAGCCCTGCTCGCATGAGAGGGTCACCTCCTCTCCAACCTCAAACACACGTTTCAGGGACGAAATATCAACTCCATCAGAGAAACGAGGCCGGCCACATACTGCAAGAGAGAAGAAACAAAAGTGAGCGATGGTTTCTTGATTTAAAAAAACCTCTTTTAAAACATGATCATGCACAAGTAGTTTAATTTTTTCTAAATTCCAAATCTGCAAATGTACCTTTTGCAGGTGTTACAGTTGTGCAAAAAGCTGCAAGGCTAAGAAGCAGCAAAGTGGGAACCATCTTCTGAGGGGTTGAAATCGGCTCTGGTTACCCTAGATCTGAGTGGGGAGGGAGTTGGATGAGACCTATTTGGTTTTAGCCACAGTGTTTGCTTCATCCAATCAAATGCAACTTCAGATTTGCAACTTCACACTATTGATCAAGGACAAAGTCCACATTGCATGCATGCAGACCTGTTTGACTGAATGTTGGTTTTAAACTTCGATCTTGTTGATTAAACAGTAGACAGACAGTCTCATGTGAAATCTTGTCAAGTAGAAAAGAAAAAAATAACAACAGTTATTCAACAGGCCTTATAATAATTGAATATAAATTGGGTCCTATGAATTGAATTTATAGAACCCAAATTCAGAACTGAAGAGGCAGAGATGATTTATTGTAATGAAAGAAAATAACTTGGTTGACTCTAAATGGAAATGAAACTAATGACTTAAATCTAAGTGTAACTGAACCAACAACAGAACCAGAAACATGTCAGATCTCCACGGTACCAAAAAAGCCCTGATCTGTTGCTACTTCTTTGACTATTTTCCAGTAAATGTTGAAGGTTAATGGATTGCACCACTCACCCTGTGCAGCTCTGTGTCATTTAGGAATATTTGTCTTCTGTTTAACAGGGCAGATAACTCCCTGTAGGTCAGTGAACTATATGGGAATTATAAGTCACTAAAAGCAAACTGTGTTTATTTGTGCAGCCTGATAAAAATGCATCGTCATGAAGTTTGGGATGAACTGCTAATACAGAAGAATGAAGATTAAAATATATTTAAAAAAATATAATTTTCTGCTCTTTTTATTTGATCTTCTCAAAAAGGGGGTGGAGGTTGGCTGAGGATCGAAATGCAGAGATGATGGAAGCAGAAAAGAGTTCTTGCAGGTTTAATAAAACCGAAGGCAACCAAAACAAAAATCCCAAAAAACAAAAAATACTATAAACAAGCAAACAACAAAAAAACATCAAAAAACAAAAAAACAAACAAAAAAAAAAAAACAGGGGAAAACTATGGAAGAGGATTAGGGCCACTGAAAAAAAAAAAAGTTAACAGATTTTTTACAGTATTTTATTTAAGTATAGTATGGGGAAAAAGTCAGAATTCTGACTTTTTTTCTCAGAATTCTGACTTTTTTTCTCAGAATTCTGACTTTTTTTCTCAGAATTCTGACTTTTTTTCTCAGAATTCTGACTTTTTTCTCAGAATTCTGACTTTTTTCTCAGAATTCTGAGATTAAAGTCAGAATTCTGACATTAATCCCAGAATTCTGACTTTAATCTCAGAATTCTGACTTTTTCAAAACAGAAAGACATAGATAACTGAAAACTCAAAGTCCAAAAGGGGAGAACCATAACAGGTCTTCTTCATGAAGCCAACCCTCTGACATGTTTGTTTGTTTCACAACAAAAGCTGAAAAATAAAATAAAATAATTGATCTAATTAATTCAACATCATATGTGGGTTATTTTGTCACTGATTATTTAGGAGAATCACCTAAAACAGGCTGTTTTATGTTAAAATTTCAATAAAATTTTCTTTTTCTTATTTATGATAGTTTTTACTTGTGGGAGATTAAAGAAATTAACTCTATATGTGCAAGCATATACTTCACAAACAACCAAATAATGTATGTACTTACAAAGAGGGGAAAAAAAGCTTTCTGCAAGTGTTTATGTTTAGGGGTAAGAAAGTTTTATGTTTTTTTTGCAATCAGAGCCTAAACAATGAACTCCACTCATGCAAAACACCACGCTGGATCTGTTTGCTTAGGTAAGTCTGAACCCGCAGCTCCAGCTCTTTTTTTATGGTATCAGATCATGTAGATTAAATTTCCCTTTTATATACCAAAATGACTCATCTAACTGTGGTTAAGATAACTGCATTATCCTCAGCAAGGCCCAAGTCTCAAAAAGGCCCGAATAAAAAATTTATTTTAAGGGCCTCTATTGTTGCAGATAATATTGATTACTGCAATCAACAGGAACAAAGTCAAAAGTATCTTTATTAGTCTCCCTTTGATGGAATTTTCTTTGGACACAAGTCAAATTATTCACACTCCTATCAAAACCTCATTGCTGCTCCAACAGCTCTGTTTACCATATACCTGTTGGATGCATCATCTAGATTTACTAAAAGTAATAAAGTAAACTAGTGTGCAGATTGCTTTATTAAGAGAGTGGAAACTTTTTGGTTCCAAATGGATTTTACAAGAAAAACACGCAGTGCAGGAACAAAAACAAATAGAAAAGGTGTTATTAAAAATAAAAATGATTCATTAAATTGTACAAAAAAGAGATTAAAAAAGATGAAGCTCGTCTCTGTTCTATAAACATAAGTTTGTTTTAGAAGAGTTTGCACTGATCCTTTCTCATCTATGTCCATCTGGCTCATCTTTTTTTTTCTTCCATTGTTTATGTATAATTTCAACTCAGTTAAAGGTAATTTGCTTAATTATTGAATAGAAATTGAGCTTTTATTGTCTCACAATGGAGAAATGACCTCTCTGCATTTAACCCATCCCCTAGGGGAGCAGTGGGCTGCCACTGGGCGGTGCCTGGGGAGTATTCAGTGGTTAAAGGTCTTCCTGAGGGTCCCAGAGGATGGGGATCGAACAGGTACTTGCAACCTTCTCAGAGCACAAGCGCACTGCTCTAACCACTAGGCCATTACTACCCCTGCACCCGAAAAGAAATAGAGAAAGATATTCCTAACTTTTTTCGCACAAATAATACCGTGTATGTATTTTGTCTTAAATAAGGAGAATAAGTTAAATATCTATTCACAATCACAGCTTTGACAAACTTTGATCATACCTTAGATACCTTGTTTAAAATATACTGTAACCCATTAATTTCCAGTAGAGTTGTCTGTAGGCTTTGAGGAAGAATATGTAATGCTCATTTTTCCCACATGGTGGCGCCTCCAGCCTCAGTTCTTCCAGTGGAACCCGGGGCCTTCTCCCTCCCACTGTGGATCCTGTTGCGTGACATCAGCCAGGCGAGAAAGAAGGAAGACGAGCGAAGAAGAGTCAAGATACACAATAGTACACAGGACCTGAACCGGAAATTGGTTCTCCAAAATAAAACAACCTAACTCTGAAAAATCTTCAGAAAATTGTGCTTTCTTTTTCTTAAGAAATGTTTGTCTGCTGTTTTTCCTTTCTTTTCTTTTTTTTCTTTTTTAGGAAGATTAAAAAAAATTGTTGAAATATCGTAGTTTGATTTTAAAAGGTGAATTTACAGAAGGGCAGCTCTTGATGACTTACATGATTTCAAATGTTCTATGTAAGGCTTTCATGTTTTATATTTCAGAAGATTTAACCCTTTTTAGGGCAGTTGCAATTTTTGATCCCTTGTATACCCCTTTCAAATGAACCCCTCCCCCCCCCCTTCCCTCAGTGAGGTCTAGAAGCACAAGATCTATATCCAGCTATTCATCAAAGATTCTGCTACATGGCTGTACATCTTATTTTGGCATCTGACCAATTAGATGAGCCCTTGAATGATATATTACCAACTGTAAATTAAGTTGGAAAAAAAGTGAACAACTCAAGAAAAAAAAAGGTAAAGAGCTAATTGAAAAGTTAAAAAGTTAATAAGTCTAGTTAACAATTATATTTAGGCTTATAAACTAAAAAATGTAAGTGCTAGTTTCAGCATTAATGTATTAAAATGTATGTTGGACCAAAAAAAAATGTGTTTCTTTCACTCTCAGAGTGTTTTTCACAAGTTTCTAATAGAAGCACTTTTGTTATTTTTTTTTTTAAATATTACACTGACATATATTTTTGCCATCAAAATATCCCTATTTCTTGAATGTTACAAAGGTAATAAGGTCTTGTCCTGGATTCCAATAACACTATTGGCTTGAAATGTTTTCACATAGTTTCACAAAGTATTTCACATAGTGCCCTATAAAGGGTTGATGAAAGCAGGGTGATTAAAAGCTTCACCGATGAAAGCTCACACATAAGCATGGACCTTAAAGCTGTTAGAATTTGGTTCTTTTTTTTTTATAAACGAGGAGAAACATTGTACTGCAGTGAATTAGAAACTTTGGAATAAAGAGTGTTGATCAAACTGAATTAGATTGAAAGTATTTTACGAACAAAAATATATCAATTAAATTAGTTTGTTAAATATATATGTTTGTGTTGTGTGTGTCTTTAAGAAAAACTGTGGTACTTTATAGGTGTATTTTAATGTTTACAAAGTGTAATGGATGAATAAGGTCTGGTTACAGCTAATATTACTTAAAATTGCGATGATGATGTCAGTTGCAATATATCAGTATTTTCTGCGCATCCGACACTAATCTTTAGTATTTTGTTTAGTATTGGCACCAGTTTCCATTAGAACCTATCCATATGGCTAAATATTACACAAAAAAAAAAAAAAGAAATGCATTTCAACACCAAACAATGACAGTGCTCCAAAGAGTCATTTGTAATATTAATACAGGACATACTTTTATTGCAATGATGATGTATCTTCACATACTGTTCAGCATGTAGATCTGGTGATTTTTGCCACATTGATTACAGATGAAGAGACGGGGTCATACTGTCTGCTCTTTGTTACATCTCTCCATGTTTTCTCACTGGAAACACAACAACCCTAAATAAAGGTCACAAGCCAAAACCAGATGGTCTGTTACCTAATAAATGACCATGTTAACTAAATATTCCAAGTGTTGTGGAAACTTTTAGATGACCAGGTCATTGATTTTCTTAATGTGCACGCTGTGACAGAGCGTTTGCTAGATTTTAAACATTATTGTGGAACTGTTGATTTTGTTAAAAAATGTTATTTTTTTAAAAATAGAAATAAGTTTCCCGGTGGTTATTTATTTTCTGCATTTTTTCCTTCCACCCAACTTTCCATTTATAAGCATGAATACAAGTATAAGAACATAAATATTTTTTTTATAGCAACTTTTTTTGTAGCTTAATAAATTGTCAGGAAAATCAATGACTCTTTGTGGATAAATCTTCCTCAGACTTGTTATAAAATAACATTTTAGTAATGCAGACTGCATTTGTATTAGCCT